TGCAGGGAGCCAATGAGCTTTCAGTAGAGATCATTGGCTATCAGCTCTGCATCAGTATCTCTTGAACTGGGAGTTCAGTCAAGGAGACACACAGGCTCCTGTGCCTGTGAAAGCACTCATACACAGCTTAGACGAAAGGTTTCAAGGGGACCCTCAACACTGTGGTGTGAAAACCCCTGAGGGCATTTCTTTAGCCCATCGGATGAAGGGCAGACCATGGACAGCTCTGCCATTAGCAACTCTGCAACCAGACTATTGATAACATTGCCCAAAGCCAAGGACAGTGGATCAAGAGAAACTCAGGGGCCTGGCAAGATGGCTCAGTGGCTAAGAGCACTTGCTGCTAATGCAGAGGACCTGGGTTCAATTCCCAGCCCCCACATGGTGGCTCACAACCATCTGTAACCACAGGTCTAGAGGATCCGATGCCCTCTTCTGACCTTTGTGGGCACTGCATGAACAGGGTCCACACATAATCACTCAGTGCCCTTCCAGTAATTATAAAAATTAGAGGAAATAAATTTGGTTCAACTAAAATCTGGATGGCTTTTACCAGTTTCCACTGTGTGCAGAGATAGTTGTTCCCCCAGAGATCCCTGTTTAAGTCCCAACTTCTGATACTTGTGAACATGAAGTCGTTTGGAGAAAAGGTCTTTGAAGATGTTCAAGAGATGAGGAGAGATCTTTATCTAACAACTGGTGACCTTCTTGGAAGAGGGAAATGGGATAAACATACTGAGTCATAGGGATGGAGGAGGCAGCTTGGAGGGATGTTCCCGGCAAGGCAAGAATGCAAGATTGCCTCTGCCAACAGCAGCCATTTTGGAAGAGGGAGGGGCCGACTCTGCCTGTACTCCAGACAGTTCTCTACCCACCACTTCATTTTGAACGTTCTGCCTCAATCGCTGCAACACAGTAAGTCTCTGGGCTTTCCCCTCACCCTGGTATTTGAAATGTTTATTTATAGTTGATACATAATATTGAACATATTTCTGGGATATAATGTGATGTTTCAATACACAATGCAGAGTGATCAAGTCAGGGTAATTAGCTTATCCACCATTTCAAACATTTTTCACTTTTATCTTAAAAAAAAACCACAAAACAAGAAAATGTGAAGTTGGGAGATATGAGTGGGAAAATCCAGGAATTTGTAAATATTGGTTAAAATACATTGAGTACTTATATGAAATTTGTAAAGATTTAGTAAAGGCATTTTCCATCTTTTTGTGATAATATTCAAGATCTTTTCTAGTAGTTCCTGTTGCCCTAGCTGTCTAGTTTGTGGTCATTTATACAGCAGCCTTAAGAAACTAATGAACTACAAGAGGCAAAAAAAGTACATAAGCTTCAAAAAATGATTTCCTAGCCCGAGTTTCAAGATCTCAGGAAAGTACGAGAGATTTAGGCTTTCAAGTAAGCTGTTGGCTGGACAGTGGTGACCCACCCATGACAAGACTATATAATGATTATAAGTTGTAGAAGAAGCCATGAAGGGTGGGGACATAGGCTTGGAGGATGAGGGACTGGACAAAAAGGTGACATCTAGGCCAGGTTCATCAGCAAGGAGTTGATGTGGGCAAGGCAGGCAGTATTCAAGCAAACCCTGCCACTTCCGAATGGCAGTAAGGGCCACGCTCACTAGTTTGCCACTGGTGTCTAAGCAACCCTGTGTAGAGCCTCCTGTCTCCAACTTGGCATATTCCTTCACTCTGGCCCCTCATTCCACATCAGACAGCAGGTGCCCCAAAGGACGGCTCTGCCAGCCTCTGCTGGCCTCTACATATAGCACTCTGGCCGCCATGGGAAGGTGCCGAAACTCTCCTGATGGACATATAGCACTCTGGCCGCCATGGGAAGGTGCCGAAACTCTCCTGATGGATGACACCCTGCTAAAATGGCTACATCCTGAATCAGAACAAGGAAGGCACCCCATGTAGCACGTGGAGATGGGAAGGAGTAGTTATGGTCGTTCATTTCCGATGCTGATCCCGCTCCCATGTGGCCCTGGAAAATATATATCTGCTCCAGAAATATCCATTGGAAAGCCCCGGGGTAATGTCTTTGGGAGATTGCTAGTGATTCTTGGGAGTGGGGGTATGCATCCTTCCTAATTCTAGGAATACTAGTGGCTGGGTTCATTTCTAAAGATAAGATAAAAAGCATTGCCTTGTTACACAAGGCCACTTCCTGACACCATTAAATCAAGTGTGCCTCTGCACTAGGAAAAATATTAATTCTGCAGATGTCACCTTTAAGGAAGTTTACTATGGAACTTCATATATACAGCATCAATGTTCGAATACAGCTTAGTAAGAAGAGATGAGCTGGGTTAAATCACACTCAGAGCATTTATAAAAAAGACTCACATTTTAATACATTAGCCCAGAACACACTGTTCAAGCATCAGGAAAATTGCAGTTGTCAACGTGAGAATTTAGACTGGGTAAGTTCATCCAAGGAAGTAAAACCTCAATTTAGATTTTTTTTTTCTTTAGTCGACTCTCCTTCCCTTCTCCTGTGCCCACGTGTTTCTTCTAGAATGGGGGAGGACAAGTTTCACAGTAAATGTATTTCACACAGAGAATTGGGTAGGGCATATTTATTGGGAGAAAGGAAGTGAAGAGAGCAACAAAACGGTTTGGCGAGCTCTCTCAAAGGGCTAAGTGTCAAAAGATGACTAGTGTGTGTGTTGTGTATGTGTGTACGTGTGTGTGTACGTGTACATGTGTGTATGTGTACATACACTTGTGTCTTCTTTTAAAATACTTTCACTTTTATTTTATTTTATCTTATGTACATGTGTGCTTTGCCTACATGTATGTCTATACACCATGCATGTCCCTGGTGCCCCCTGGAGGACAGAGAAAGGTATTGGGTTTCTCAGAACTAAAGTTACAGACAGTCGTCAGCCACCCTGTGGCTGCCTGGAGTCCAACCCAGGTTCATTGCTAAAGCATCCAGTGCCTTTAACAGATGAGCCGTCTCTCCAGCCCCCACTTGTCTTTCTAGCAAGTCTGGGGGGGGGGGGAGCAAGGAAGCGCCCTCTCACTGAGCTACACCTCCATATACATTTTGATAATGAGGGAAATTGGTAAGATATTCCCCCCCACCCCCGGCAGTTTTCTGATATACTTCGCAGAAAGTCTGCCTGCCAGTGGTGGTGGGTGGTTGAAGCTTCGGGCTGGCAGCCTATCTCACCACATCAGTAGCAATGGACCAGCCAGCTGTGTGGCTTCGCCAGATGGGCCAGATGGGAGTGGCGGCCTGAAGTCAGCCTAGGACTAGATAAAGGGTAGGGAGGACTTGCACGCCAGTGGCCAGCTCTGCTGATTTGGAAGTGAGCTGTACTCCGGGCCAGGCAGACAGGCTGTTCTCACTCTCAAAGCAGCAAGTGGGCTTTCCCTGCAGAACACATCTGGTGTCCCAGAACGTCCTATCAAAGGCAGCGATTTTCTTATTTTGTTTTCACATAGGCAGCGATTTTCTTTAAATTGAAAGTCAAGGCCATTTATTTTTCTCAAAACCCGTGCTGTCAGCTCGGTGCCCTGGCTGGAAACGTTTGCTTGTTCCACAAAATGGCAAAGCTGCTTTGTCCTTAAACAAGGTGGGGCACTCTCCTCCCTGAGCACGTCTTCTGAATGAGACTTTTCCATAAATCCTTGCCCCGGGAGGACATGTGTATCCATTAGGAAGATGGTATATATTTAGAGAAAACTTACTTGGAGGGAAAGAGATGCCAAAGTAATCCTCCAGTGAGAGCCTTGCAGGGAAATAAATATTGTTGTTGGCACATTCATGCCAGCTCTGCTTGAAGTTTTCATGCTGGTGGCCAGTTCTCCTTGCCTGCATTCCCTAAGTCATGGATTCGTGAATGTTATGTGCTTATCATTGATGTTATCTCTGGACATGTCTATGCTGCTTAACGATAAGGGTATGTGCTGTGACCTGCATGTTTGGGTGGCCTATGGGGGAAACATCGTATAAACAAGTTAATAAAGAAGAAGGCTGTGCATGCCTGAGCACTGTATAGTCACGAGACTCCACTGTGGGTGGCATCTGTCATTGAGAAAATGTCTACATGTGGCCCATCACGACAGCAGACATACGTGGTCCGAGATGAGCATGAAAGGAAGTTTTAGGGTGCAGCATGAAAAGACGTTTTCGGGTGCAGCCAGGCCGGGCCAGCACTTCAAGACCGTCCACCCATTCTGCCAATGTAGCCACAAATTCACTTATGACTTCCAAAAATTTCTCAAACTAGATAGAATTCGAAGTGTCAGTAACGATGTCATAGTTCCCTGGTTAAATCAGAAGTGAAATTACCCCGGCAGGTGTCCTTGGCAATTGTTTTACCAGTGACACTGTAAGATTCTGAGGTGACTCCCCGGGCCCCACGAAAGGAAATCATTCTGAAAATAGTAGCCTTTTCCATCCATTTTTCTATTTATCAGTAACCCTCCCCCTTATTAATCACCAAGGGTCACATTTAGTTCATTAAGGGAAGGAAGCGACCATGTTGACACTTCACAGATGTTAATGACATATAAATTCCAATGTACTTCAGGGACCCAGTGCCAAACCATTTTCTCAGGAATCAGAGGAAGCCACATGAAAGCTGAGTCTGGGAGCACACTTGGTAATTTTATGATTGCAAATCCATCCGCCATAAATTTTTTTTTAGGCAAATAAATAATTAAAAGTATCGAAATCCACACCGCGATTCTCGGAAAGGCATCAGCCTGGTTATTAAACGGCTATAAATTAGCCATTAGGAATGTATTCTTCCAAATGGATTAACCTTTTCAATTATCATTTCATCTGTTTTCTATATTTTAAAAAAAAATCAAAGAAATGCAAGATATAGGAAAGACAAGGCAAGGAGAGGATCTGAAACTGATTTGGTGGCTTTGGAGTTGACATAATCTTGGCCCGGTGCAGTTCATTTTGGAAAGCTGCCTCAAATTTCCCCGGGTTTTGAACTTTTTTTTTTTCCTTACCACTTTCATCTAGCAAGAAATCATCCTGGTAACGGAACTTCTCTGGTCCACATGCAATAAAAATGTCATCGTCACCAAAAAAGTCCTGAAGGCACATCACCTACAAGAGAAAAGCATGGTACTCAGCCAGGGGTCCACACAACAGCAGCCGTCTCCCCCCTCCCCAGACCACCACATAAAGCCATTTTCCTCTAATGGAATCAACAAGGGGATTTCAAAGGCTCGGCTCGGGCATCTGTTATCAGTAAGGAGCGCGTTAGTGTGTTAGTCTCAGGTCTGCAGGAAGGCAGAGAAGGCGACGAGCCCCAGTGACTGTCACGTTTATGACGGCACACACCAACAGGCTACGAGGCAAGAGCTCTTTGTTTCCATAACACCAGGGATCCAGCTACTCAGAGCAGGGACACCCCTGCCCCCCGGGTTCTGAATGGGAGTTCCAACACCAGCGAGGGCCAATGCACACCGCGTGGCTTTCACAGCAGATAGGGTTTTGTGCGTAACTGATGGCGTTATAGTCTCACAATAATCTAAGAAAAAACGGTATGTTAGAATAACCTGTAGACCCAGTCCATCTCTAGTTGAGATAAAACTGAACGCCTTATAAGAGGAAGAATTGGAAAAAAGGAGGTTTTGGTGAAGTTCAGATACAGACGTTAAAGAAACGCTACGTCTTTCTCTCGGCACTCTACCCCCAATTAATCTTCAATAGTGGGGATCAAGCCCAGAATTTGTACACATTAGACTGACACTCAGCCACTGAGTTGTGTCTCTCGCCCTTGTTTGTTTGACACCACTGCAAGTCTAGAGTTAGCCTTGAACTGTCCATCCTCCTGCCTCAGCCTCCCTAGTGCTGGGATTATAACCTGGAGCCATCATGACCTCTCCCTCCCACCTTCTTGTTTTCGGGTGAAAGAAAACTTTAGACATGGTTGCATGTTTCTATCATCTAAAGACAGAGGAGGCTGAGGAGAAGGGACCACCAGGTGGACTTCAAGACCAGTCTGAATACCACAGTGACATTCTGTCTGAAAAACAAAAGGACCTCATGCAGTCTATTCCCAAAGGAGAACTTTAAGGTAAATGTCACTCGCAGTGAATTGCGGTTGGGATGACTCATTCACAAGCTTGAAGATGCTTCTACAGTGATTTGTTCATAGCATGGGTTATGCTGATGCTGGAAGGCTGCTCAATCCTATGCGTTCCCAATTTCCTCTCACCACGTGGGTCAATCACAAGGTGACTCTGCCCCACTTCTCTGCAGCAGGAAAACACTGCCCAAAAGCAAGGTGGAGGGAGAAAGGCTTTATTTGGCTTGCAGGTTATAGTTTATCATCAAGGGAAGGCAAGAGCCTGGAGGCAGGAACTGAAAGAGACTGTGGAGGAACACGGTGTACATGATTGCTCCCGGGCTCGTGTTAGCTACCTTTCTTATAGCCCAAGCCCACCTAAGGGAAGGCACTACCCATGGTGGGCTGGGTCCTAGTGTGTCAAATATCAGTCCAGAAAATGCCACACTGTCATGCCCACACCCCAAGCTGATAGAGGCAGTTCTTCAACTGGGGATCCCTCTTACTAGGTGTATCCAGTTGACAAGAAAACTCACCAGGGAAGAGCTGTGCAAAACAGCCTTTTGAGTGGTATTTTCCTCTGGGTACTTAGGTGTCAAAGAAAACACATGTGGCAGGCGAGATGCTAAAGCCCTGTGGTTACGGTCAGCATCTCTCTCACCCGCCGGCCAGCCACGGGTGCCTTTGGGGCTTTGTGTCTTGGTCAGCCTTTGGCAGTGCTGCTCTGTCACATCTCACAAGCGTGGGCGAGGGCATTCTCTGCAGCCCCGGGGGCAATGGCCCGTGGGCTACCGAGGGTCTCTCAAGATGTCTCCTTTCCAAATGGCCTGGCTGCAGGTTTTTTAGAGGAGATTTCTCCAATGGTTTGATGGTCAACATTAAGTATGAATCAGATGTATCCATTGCCATAAGGGCTTTGTCTGCCATCTAAAGTTTGAGGGCATGGGTCATTTAAGAGGAGGGCGAACCCAAGGATTTCATCACAAGCATGGTATGAGAGTGACCGGATGTCTACTTTCTTTCTAAAGAAACCTATGGATGGCAGAATGTGTCCTCACTCATCTCGGCATCCCAGCTTTCTCTTTGGGTATTGATGTCATCTAGTCACGCATGCACGAGGCATAGCTCTTTAAGATGCATAAGTTTCAAATGAATGGTTGGTGGATGTAAGCTAGTTCATGGCACAAACATACAAAAATGAATTAGGCATGGGCTCTCCCTCAAGTAAAACTGAACACTAGCCCCAAGTGTGGTGTGTCCTTAAAAAGTAGGTGGTGGATGGAACTTGTGCCATCGGAGGTCCTGTGTCCAAATGTCACAACCAGTTTATTCAGTGTGAACAGAGTCCTTTGTTCTGAACTCCAAATAGTTTAGTGTGTTAAAGTGTACCCAAGTTCAAAGGGTGGGGAGGACTGAGATCCCTGAACTTGATTTTAGAACTGTTTCTTCCACAGCAGTGTGCATGCAGTACTCGCACACCCCTCTAGGGACATGTGTGGACAGTCGCAGGTCACAGGTCTCAGCAGCCAGGCATGTCGGGACACACCTACAGTACCAGCACTGCAAGAAGATTGTGAGTTTGAGACCAGCCTGGGCTACACAGTGAGAAGCAGTCCCAAAATAACACAAACCAACTACAACATAGAACTCAAAGAATGAGCAGGGGAGAACTATTAGCCACTGACTCCCCTGGCAGCCATGTTCCAATAGCAATATTTACATACCAGTTTATTTTCTGAAACTTTAATGATGGGCCTACAGTGTGTCAAGTTCTGAGTCAAACTCAGAACTTGTATATATATATATATATATATATATATATATATATATATATATGTATATATATGTATATATGTATATATATGTAAATATATGTGTATATAGTTGGGCCTGGGGATATTTATTTCAGCCTATAATATACTCAATACCCAAGAATAGGACCCAAGTTTACTCTCCAGAACCCATGGTTTCTGTTTGTTCATTTTTGCTTTAAGGAGGCAGGTATAGTAGAATTTATAAGCCCAATCAGTATCGGGGAAACGGAAACATGCAGAGCCTCACTGATGAACTTGAGAACATGGTTGCGGTGCTCAAGGAGAAACAGAACTGAAGGGTACTCTCTTGGTCTCAACAAACATGTACCTATACACACAAATGCGCACAAAATGCACTCATAAAGCACATACACAAAATTTCTTCGAGATCAAAAATGTTGTTTTCTAAAGGAAATACTCCTTCTTTTTCTGCGTATTCTACCATTTTCATTACAGGATATCAGGTGACAACTCAACCACGCTCAACTGTTCCTGCAGGGTTTTGCAAGGCGGGGAGCTAAGCAATGGGACTATGGCGTGGTCTAAGTCTGCTCCCAGCATCCTGCCGATGACCCTTCTCCCAGTCTGAACCTCAGAGAGCACATCAGACAGCAAGGGATCCATCTTGGACGGTTTAAGCACGATTCTGTTGGCAAGTGGGAGATGAAACACGGCGAACTTTTTGATGTTCCTTCCAACACCAGGATTCCAAGAATATGAAAAGAACGCAGCGATTGCTAAAGAAATTATCTGTCATCGCGCAGCAGAAAAGACACAGGAAAAAGTCATTCCAGTGTCAAGTAATATGTCCTCATTTACCGCCCAAGCTTCAGTGAGTGGAATCAATGAAAGTGTTGAACTGTCTGACATGCTGGGGGTTTTCTGCTGAACGTCATTTTGCCTCCCCTGCTCACAGCTTCTCATTGGGAAATGGCAGCAAGCTCCATAGATGAAATTAAAAAACAAAGCCGTTCCTTGTGAGATGCCATGATAGAATGGCTGAGAACAAAAAAGGTTTAGATAGAAAGAAAGGTGGATTGGGGGGAAACGGATGCATATAGACCACTGTAATGTAGTCCGTTCATCAGAGAAGAGCAACAGAGGGAGGTTAGAGCCCTTTTTCTCTGGGAAAATGCAGGGTGGGAATTTTCCTTGAGGTCTTTCTGAGCATTCTGGCATGAAGGAGTTAAAGAAAGTAGAGAAATGTTAAACGATTTTTGCGTGATAATCCGATCTTATATCTATGTAGTGTTGATCACTTTAAAACTTAATTGTACTCAAAACTCATCTTGGTTGCCAGTTTTAAAATATAAGTTACATTTGAGGATAAAGTGCATGCTTTATGCTGCCAGGAATCAGGAATATGTTCCTCATCTGCTCCAAAAAATCTCTGCTCAGTTGTGGTCAGAAGGACCTATCAAGATGGGGCAGATGTAAGAGAGGTCTTGAGGAAGGAGACATACACAGACTGAACAACTCCTGTCCAAGCCTTCCTGCTTACCCACACCAGCTCTCCAAGAGCTGGGATGCCTGTATCTGTTCTTCCCATTCTTACTGTAGCTGTGTGTTGATTCCCTACAATATCTCCAAATCTCAGGCATCCCCAACCCATCTCCCTAGAGCTGCCATCATCCTGTCTGCCCAGAGCCCAGGGACCTCCTCCAGGGACCTTGGAAGAAGGTCCTTGTAGAAGTCTGATTCCCTGCCCCTTTCTCTGCAATCCATTCTGTTTAATTTTGTCCATCTGCCACTTCCATAGGAAAATTTCAAATTCTCTTTCTGTAGCTCAGAAACCATCAATGCCTTATCATCAACAGAAAGTCTGTCTTTTGGAGCTGGCATTCCAGATGTCCTCACATCTGTCTCCAGCTCCACCTACCAGTGTCTCCAGTCATAACCAGTCTGTTGAGTGATAAGCACTGTTAGATGGTTGGATGGCTGGGTGGATGGATGGACAGTTTGTGCTCTAAAATGAATGTGTGTCACCTGATTCTAGTCTCTGAAAAGGGGCTTGTTCTTTCCTACTTGTATGCTTTCTTTTCCATAAAAACGCCCCTATTTTGAGTCCACTTTCATATAGGCTTGGTCTAAGTCCCTTCTATGGACCAAGGTCCAGTTGAAGGTTCATGCCCTACCTTCCCCATCCCCTCCAAACCAAAGGGTTACACACTTGTTCTGAAGCTGTTGTCATCATTCAATAAATGCTTATTGGTCACTTA